TAAATAAATAAATAAATAAATATTCAATGTTGCAAGTGACATTACTAGCATCATTACCCATTGTTTTCACTTAGTTTATTATGCATTTGCTAGTTATTGGGAAGTCCTGAATTTCAGTCATTGAATTCCACTACACACTGCCAACATCCACATTCAGATTCACTTTGAGAAGTAAGCATTCTTCTCTAGCAGTTTTTAAAGGCTAGCATGCAATGCCATATATGGCCAAATAACTGCACGATGCTCAAACTTCCTGCTGCACAGAGTGACTCCCAAAATAGAGAAGAACCAATACCTAGCTTGTTTGAAATTGACTCCTTTAGATTAAGCTCCATGAACAAAGAACAAACTATTATGCAACTGGCAGAACACCACCTCCTAAACAGTACAGTATAAGTAGCACATACTTGTCTTCTACTCCTGTAGCTCCAAGTAAGTCCAGGTCTTTTTCTATGAAGTCGTACACCTCTGCCAGCCGTTCTTCTCTCTGCTGCAAGGCAGTTTTGGCCTCAAAAAGACGTTTTTCCACCTCCTGATACTCCTTAGGTGTGAATTTCCTGTACGCCACACACAGAGTTCTCAATCCTTTCTGTGAATCAAGCAAAATGCTGGTTATTAGCTAGGACAGTGGCAATAAAATTTATTTACTGATGGAATGCATGGCACAGCCAAACAAAAGCTACACTACATCTTCTCTTCAATGTCAGGTATATATTTGATCTTTCAAATATGGCTGATACGAGATGGAAAAGGAAAGAAGAGGTCAGGCAGGTGGACCAGATAGGTTGTCTTCAGGACGAGATCTGATCTGCACACAGTTTGATGGGAATAGGGAAGTTTATATATGCTTTAGCAGGAACAGGGAAAAATAAGTGTGTGTAACTTTAGGAAGTAATGATACTAAGAAATTAGTCCTTTACAGGTAGTTTTGCAGGTGTTATATAGGCTCCAATAGTCCATCCCTTGAGTGCTACAGTATTTAGGAACCTAGATTGTGCATCCTAGATTGTGTAGCTATTTCTAACCACCTTTATTTTACACTTTCGTGAAATTCCAGTGAGACTTTCCTTCTTACAGTAAGTAGGCAGCAAGACTACGCTTAGATATAAATATGGAAGATTTACACATAAACTGAAAGAACAGTTTTAGAATCATGATAATCTCCCTGTGGATTCTCAAAGGCTTTCACGGCCGGGATCTGATGGTTGTTGTAGGTTTTTCGGATTGTCTGGCCATGTTCTTAAGTTTTTTTCTTCCAAATGTTTCACCAGTCTCTGTGTCCGACATCTTCAGAGGACTGGAGTCAGAGCACAGAGAGAGTTCTGACTCCTGTCCTCTGAAGATGCTGGCCACAGAGACTGGTGAAACGTTAGGAAGAAAAACCTTAAGAAAATGGCCAAACAGCCCGAAAAAACTACAGCAACCATAATCTCCCTGCTTCCATCTTTCTTTTGAGTTTTGTAAAGACAGGAAGATGGTAGCGCAGTCATTCTAAAGCTTGGTCAGTTAGGTCCATGCTGTAAGGACACCAGGACGTAATGTATGCTGTCCTAGGATATAAGAGCAAAACCAAGAACTGAAGAGGGGGAACCCACACATTTTTCAACATATTTTGCCTGAGTTGGATCAGGTGGCATCTGTCAGCAGGACACATTTTCCCAGGAGCCTCCAATTCCTAAGCCTTCTCTATCAAGTAATAAGAAAACAGGGTGTACTCAAATGCAAAATTAAGCAAAAACAACTTAATAAAATGCTTGGGCTCAAGCTATCTCAAGGACTATATCTCACTTTATGAGCCTGCTCGGGTGTTAAGACCATCAGGAGAGGTCTTTCTCTCAGTCCCACTACCCTCACAGATGAGTTCGGTGGGGACTCAGGAGAGGGCCTTCTCTGTTGCTGCGTCCATATTCTGGAACTCCCTCCCACAGGAGACCAGGCTGACCCCATTTTTGCTGTCCTTCCGCAGGCAGGTGAAGACCTTTCTCTTCAGGCAAACTTTCCCTCAGGGAATGATTTGCCTGAGTGGGGTTGTTAAATGGATTATTGTTCCTTACAGCTTTAAATGTGGTTCTGCTGTTTTTGTTCACCATGTTGTAGTGTGGTATTTGACCCTTTCTAGTATTTGTATACTTACTGTTGCTAGCATTAAATATGATCTTTTAATGATGTAAACTGCCTTGGGTCTTTTTTAAGGAGAAAGGTGGAGTAAACATATTTTAAATAAATAAATAAATACGTAATAAATGGCTAGTGAATAGTAATCTCTACTTGCTCTCTGTGTGTGTGTGTGTGTGAACATAATGAGATAGAGCTGCTTTCATTCAACCACTTCAGTACATTTCAAAATAAAACCAATTAAACAATTAAATGCCACAACTTCTGTCTCAAGCTCTTGGATGTGCTTCCAAAAACTGAAAGTTCACAGTTGTGAGCTTAGTTGAGGTGGACAAGTGATGGATATCCTTGTCCGCGCCTTTAAAGTAGTGCTGCTGTCAGGATCAGTCAAGTTATAGAAGATCTGACATGGAGGTCCTCAAACCAGATGACACTCCCAACAATGTGGGCATCAAGAAACACCAAAGACGAGAGGGCAGGCTCATGAAAACACACCAAGGGACGCTCAAGCAGCTGATCCTGCAATTTCACAGAGTGTTAAACAGTGTAAAAGGGCAAGGTGACCCGGTTAGAGAAAACAGGATGTTGCCCACTTCAGCTGCCTTCCCCACTAGTTTGCCACATCTTTACACTGACCGGAGGCACTAAACAACTCTATATGCATTTACAAGCAATGATGCACTCAAATCAGTTTGAAAACTATAAATGTAAGAGTCACAAATAGGATTATGTACAATGTGCCTTCTGTTCAGAACTTCACCACATTCCTCACTTTGTTGCTATTGTTATTTTGCATCCAATTAAGTCAGTATTCCATGACCACAGAACCTACTGAGCCATCGAGTACTGAGGATTTATTTTTAGAAAGAATACTCAACTGCTATTTCCTACATTCCTCTTGTTATCTCCTAGTGATGGCATGCATCATCAACCTAAATACGAAGTCAACCACAGCCCCATCAACTTGAATTCTTCTTCATCATCACTACCACTATCTCTGTCTTCATGGAACACTACGTGATTCTTAAGTTTAGTAAAAGATCCACCCTGATCTAGCCAGAGGTTTGAAAGCAACACTCACCAAAGCAAATTCATCCACATGAATTCTTGTTTTTTCCACTTCTCCACCTTTACTGCGAGGAAGAATACCAGATTCTGCTCCTTTGGTGAATAAAAGTTTGTCACCTACAAAGATTAATTTCAAAGAAATAAAATTGAAATCCAAATGATAATGTCCTTTTTAAAAGCCACTACTGCCCCCCCTTAAACAAAATGCTTCAGGATTTTTTGATTATGAAATAAGACAGGAATAAAACATGTTCAACAGGTTTTTGGCATACCTGATGGACTTTCTACAATTACACTCATTCTTCTGCGATCTGCATCGAACTCCAAAACATGTAGTAATTTGTACCTTTAAGGGAGGGAAAGCAAATTACATTTATGGCACGTGCTGAATAAATGGAAGGTCAAAGATGTTAGCTTACCTGTTAAGTGTAACTAACAATCATGCAAGTTGAACAAAAATGGGGGGAGGGGGAACCTGAGCATGGAACAGGATTGTCTTCGGACAAAATGCTGGCTCTATGGCCTGGAAACAGGGATGAGCACCGCCCCCTAGAGTCGAACACGACTGGACAAAAATTGTCAAGGGGAACCTTTACCTTTTTAATGCCCCCCATTAAACAAAATGCTTCAGGATTTTTTTGATTATGAAACAAGACAGGAATAAAACATGTTCAACAGGTTTTTGGCATACCTGATGGACTTTCTACAATTACACTCATTCTTCTGCGATCTGCATCGAACTCCAAAACATGTAGTAATTTGTACCTTTAAGGGAGGGAAAGCAAATTACATTTATGGCACGTGCTGAATAAATGGAAGGTCAAAGATGTTAGCTTACCTGTTAAGTGTAACTAACAATCATGCAAGTTGAACAAAAATGGGGGGAGGGGGAACCTGAGCATGGAACAGAGGACACTGTCTTACTCTGAGTCAAGCCACGGGTCCATCTAGTCCAGAATTGTCTACTCTGATGGGCAACTTCTCCTCAAGGTTTCAGATCAGATTCTTTCCTCCCCCTACCTGGAGATCTCTGATGTTAACAAGTAATCTGACATCCAAGTATTAACCAGGCCCAACCCATCTTGTTTTCCGAAACCTGATAAGACAGGGACGTGGGTGGTTATTTAAACTGATTTTTTTTTTCTGGTAAGGGGTGAATGAGGGGAGAGAAGGAAGAGAAAACGGAGGAAATATGAAGGCTTCAATGCCTCTCCTAAACCCCTTTGTTTTTATCTAGCTCACATCTCTTGTTTTCTGGAACAGATTCAGCTCTGTAGATTGAATTTGACAGTGCATTTCACTGTAATACAATCTACCACTTTAGCAAAACTGAATGCCTTTCCTAAACAGATTCTAAAGGCTGAAACATTTTTACCTTGAACCATTTGAAGAAACGGTTACTGATATAAGGGTCTAACTTTATGGATTAGGAGGGGTAACTCTGATAAGAATTATATTTATCAGCCATTAAGTCAATCTTACCGTCTTTCAAATATTCAGTGCTTAATGGGTAATTATTATATAACTGCTAAATTATTGTTGATTTTATGATATCTAAATATTGATGTTATTTTATATTTGTAGTTACTTGTCACTGTCTGATTGTGTTGTGAACTACCCAAAGTCACCTTAGGCTAGATGGACAGTATACAAAACAAATAAACAATACTAAGGACACACATGAAAATTACTATACTTCTAAAAAAATACACGCTGTGGGCTGAAAATGTTCACAGCCAAAAGGTAAATAATCATGCAGTCAAATCTGTCCCTAAAGACTAATGAACACAAGAAAATACAGTGGGGTCTCGACTTACAAACTTAATCCGTATTGGAAGGCAGTTTGTAAGTCGAAAAGTTCGTAGGTCGAATCTGCATTTCCCATAGGAATGCATTGAAAACCATTTAATCCGTATCTGCTCATTTCCGTCCATAGAAACTAATGGGAAGCTGCTATTCCGCTTTCTGCCACTAGAGGGGGATATATTTTTTGTTTTTTTCTTAGGTCAAGAAAAGTTCAGGAAAGGAGGGGGGAGGCAGGGAACAGTTTTAAAAGCACTTTTGAATTTTTTTTTTCAACACAGCCAATTTTAAAGCATGTTTTAAAGCATGTTGTGTTAATTGACCCAGGCTTTGCAAGCCAGAATGCCTCTCTCTCACTTCCCCCCCCCTTTTTGGTTCGTCCCGTGTGTTTTTTTCGGTTTGTAACTCGAATCTAAGTGTGCAAGTCGAGTCAATATTTTTCTTTCAGAGTGGTTTGTAAGTCGAAATGTTTGTAACTAGAGCCATTTGTAAGTCGAGGGTTGACTGTAGCTATATCTGCAATTAATAAATAACGGTATGTGACTGAGCAGAGCAACGGAACTTGGACCACAAAGAAATTGATTTACATTTCTGATGAGCCATGAAGCTCACTCATTGACTTAGGGTGACTCATAATCCATTTGTTCAGTGACCTCATAGGACTGTTCTAAAGAAAAATGGACAAAACCCCTATATATAGCATTCTCCAAGTTTCATTGAGGAAATATATCATATCCTGTCAGGATGCTTCCAGCTTAAGGCAACCTTAATTAAATGTCCAAAAAGTCCTAAGTCCTGCACTGGTTTTGCAAGTGAAAGCAAAGATACTTAGCAAAAGCTAAAGGAAAGTACAGTGGTGCCTTGCTTAACAATTACCTTGTTAAACGAAGAAACCGCTTTATGATGAAGTTTTTGTGATCGCTATTGCGATCGCAAAGCGATGTTCCTATGGGGTAAAATCGCTTAACGATGATCGGTTCCCTGCTTCGGGAACTGATTTTTCGCTAGATGATGATTTTAAAAAGCTGATCGGCAGCTCTAAAATGGCCGCCCGCTGTGCAAAATGGCTCCCCACTGTGCTTTAGGACGGATTCCTTGCTTTACAGGCACCGGAAAATGGCCTCCCTATGGAGGATCTTCGCAAAACGAGCAGGTATTTCGCCCACTAGAATGCACTGAACCGTTTTTCAATGCATTTCAATGGTTTTTTAAATTTCGCTTGATGAGGATTTTGCTTAACAGCGATTTGAACGGAACGAATTATCCTCATCAAGCGAGGCACCACTATATATGAGAGGCTATTCAGACAGACAGACAGAGAGAGTACAAACAAATTTGCCATGTATTTGCAAATGTATTTTGTTGGCTTTCATTTCTCTATATGTTCCAAATTGTTTTTAGAGAATGTTTAGGGATCATTGATTTTTACCTTTCAGCCTTTCCACAGCTTTTAAGCTCCATACTTTCTGTGCTTGCTCCAGTAAATACAACACCTACCCTAAACATTAGAAAGAAAAGTCAATTAAAAGCGTGACCTGGTAAAAACTGCAAATATACACTGTGACAACACAAACGAGTATTCCACTACTCTCTACACAGCAGATCAGTATTTTCAGGATGAATTAAAATCAATATATAAGGAAACACTTCTTTCAGATATGGGTGTCATCTATAACAATCTCCTTAAGAAAAAAATGTATCAGGGAAAATAAAAATAAAAAAGACAAAAACATTCTGGCACCTTAAAGACTAAATTCCCCCATTTAAACCATCGTTTTGCGATCGTAAAAGCGATCACAAAAATGTTAACATAATGCAGATTTGTCATAGAGCGGGGTAATCGTACAGTGGGGCATGACTGTATTTTAATATAAAGCTTACATTAAAATATAATAGTTAGCCTTTAAGTTTTTATTGTTACTGTTACTGTTACTGTTACTGTTACTGTTGTTGTTGTTGTTATTATTATTATTATTATACTCCACCCATCTAGAACAAAGTCTACTCTGGGCGGCTAACAATAATAGATACTCACAACATTTATGTCTTTTTTATTTTTCTTTAGGTTTTGCCTGAGATGATTGCACAAGGCTACCTCTTCTAACACTACACTTTTAAAAAGGTACAGTGGTGCCTGGCTAGACAATTACCTTGCAAAACGGTTTATTTGCAAGATGATGAGTTTTTGCGATTGCTACAGCGCTTCGCAAAACAGTTTTTCCTTTGGGCGATTTTCGCTAGACAATGTTTCGGTCCGTGCTTCGCAAAACAGGGGGGGGGGGGGTTGGGACAGTTTTTCGCAAGACGACGATTTTGACAGCTAGGTCCACGACTCGCAAAACGGTTTTTTTCGGGACGGTTTTTTGCAAGACAGCAATTTTGACAGCTGGTCCGCGCTTCGCAAAACGGTTTTCCTATGGGCGATATTCACAAGACGTCTATTTTTCCCATTGGAACACATTAAATAGATTTCAATGCATTCCAAAGGGGAACCGCATTTTGCAAGATGATGTTTTCGGAAAACAGCTATTTTCACGGAACTAATTAACATCATCTTGCGAGGCACCACTGTATATGTTATTTGACTACTTTATTACAACTGTCAACAACCACTACAGCAAGAATAAACGCCATAAAAAGAAAATTTGTTAAAAAGAACTAGATTTTGAAGAAACTAAATTTAGACAATGTGGCAGTTAAGAGTATATCTCAACGCAGCCTGATTAAAATGCACGTATGCATGTTTCCATATAATTAAACCTGAGATAAAAACATATTATTCCCTTAGTTTTCTTGCCTACCTTTTCTTCTCTCTGTATATTTTTCATTGTAATCTCCTTAAAACAAAGAGCTCTCCTTTCAAATACTTCTGTATATATGATCAAGGTGCTATCAATCACTAACATCAGACCTACAACAAAATAACATAGCCTGGGGATGTTCCCCCTGAGGGTTCCAGCCAGTGCTCTCCCCTTTCAATATATTCTGTCTGATTCCCTGTCTTGCTCTTGTTTCCTCGTTTATACATCCAGACTGCAGAACACTTTGTAGTGTACCCCATCAGAAAACTGGAAAAGTCATGGAATACTCACCTTGATCCTTTCACACCCTTCTACAGCATTCCCAGACTTAAGATCAAGATGCAAGATTGACTCATCTAGCATTATTATTTATACCTCCGCAACGATGCATGGAACCTGAGCTTTTAAGCCTTACCTGCAGGCAGCTTCAACTAAAGCCTTTTCATCTGGAGAGGAAGCATAGTACTCCAGCCGACAGGAGCCATTACTACACCAAGGACCGTCCGCAATGCCATCAGCTTGGTCAGTATTAATTTGCACTGTATGACAAAGACAAACAGCTTTCAGGAAAAGTTCTTCCTCTTGATTCTGTAAACAAAAACAAAACATTATATTAAATATGCATATCCTGATTGCAATTTTGTTTTCTTCTATATAAGGCAACCGCTACAAATACATAATATGCAAATCTCAGTGAATTTGAAGACCATAAGTAAAGGTCTAAAGATTTTCTCCTAAATCCTTAGGTGATTGTACTTTACTGCCGCCAAATCTTTGAAAACTCCAAAAATGTGCCATCTTCACTTTCTTTAACACTTAGCAGACATAATTCGGAAAATGGATGTTGCCACCTTGCTTTGGTAAAGAACACACCCTCTTTAGACATACACATAGGGAAACACACATAGAGGTACATGCCACATTACTATAAACCACTTACTCTAAAAAGAACCTGTAATTCCAGCCATACTCAGCTGGGGTTCAGCCCCAGTGAAGAGGCTGGACTTGAAGTACACATGGATAGATTTTGACCTCAGTCCCAATGAATGCTTACTTGGAATATATACTCTCAAACTCAGCAGGATTCACTTCAATTATCTAGCTCTTCAACAAACACCAAGCACTTGCCTTCAAGAACATCTTATCACCCATACTTGAGGCTTTCTCTTGATGGCTATTCAATTTTCCGTAAAATATATCTCCAAGGCTATTTTGCAATTTAATCTTTTTGGAGAACATTAAGTTATTTAGCATGGGGCGCAAGGCTCTAAATTAGTTTAAATTTTTTTTTTTAAATAAAATCTTACCAGCCTAGGCGGTTTTCCATCTGTAGCACTCTCAACCAGTCCTTCTGGAACCAGCTTGCCATTGATCTCTTGGTACTTGATGCCATTAATGGAACACTCTCGAAACTGCATCACATTTTCAGTTAATGTGCCGGTTTTATCTGTAAACACATACTCCACCTATGATAAGTTCAGAAACGGTGAGTCAAATTACGTGTGGCTTCAACCCCAAAGCAGAGTACAGTGTTGGGCCAGCTGAAATGAAATCTCCTTTTTTAAACAACACTCTTCAGTAAACTTGAGAAAAAAGTTGTTATCTGAGTGTCAGTGTCTTTTAAAACTGAATGATTTATATTATAATGTGGTCTAACTAAGCATGTATATATAGATGGAAACAACTCAATTAGCTGCCAAGAAAAGCAGATTGTGGACCCCACATTAGCACGCAAAATTAGAACACATCTTAACTAGAAATGCATTATTGAGCCAGATCATTAGGTTATCTTCCCATTAATGACCACCCCCAACTGCCAAGATTTGCCAGCAGTGTTCTTTCACATCACCTCTACAAGGTCAGAGAATGAGTTGAGGGGTCTCATTCTCAAATGGCATGCCCCTTGCCCCACAAGCCACCCAGGGCCACCCACTAACCGCTCTCTAAGATGTTTTAAACCTAGAATACCTTAGGGGCTTCCCATTCATGACAATATAATCTACTGCTAAACTGTGTCTTACTTAATTGCCTGTTTTTCTTAACTTTTTCAGTTGGTGCAAATCGCAGGCAGCATCAAGGTGCTATGCACGACATGGTGAAAAGCCTATTAAAACCACTTGTTTTTCAGAGACTGCAAGATGTATTTCTCACACTACAGTCTAGAAATCTGTTTTTGTTGCAATTTTCTTGCTTCTTTTCATTAATAGAGGTGGCTCCGGGCGCTTAACAATGGACTCAGTCTGGCACTTCTACAGTTTTTCAGTTTGGTTTAAATATTTATCAGCCTGTTCTCGGGATATACAACAAATACGTAGGTCCCTCACAATGCTTTTTCCCCAATGACAATTTAAAAAAGAGATTTCCTGGAAACACTGAGAAGCCCCCAGTTGCTGTAACAGACACATGCATTATGAATATATTTATTTACCGTATTCTTCAGTGTATAAGATGCCCCCATGTATAAGACACACACCCCTTTTCTGACCCAAAATTAAGAAATCTAAGTGGGGCTTAGGGTAAAAAGGATCAAAGTGCTGCAGGATGGTTTTGATCCCTTATTTCTCCCTTCGTGCTAAGCCCCGCATGGCTTAGGAAAAGGAGAGGCAAAGGGATCAAAGCAATTCCATGACTGCACAATCATTTCGATCACTTTCCCCCTTATACAGCCACGGGATTGCTTTGATCCTTCCCCTCTCCTTTTGCTAAGCCTCATGGGACCTGGCGCGCAGAGAGGAAAGCAGGGATCAAAACGATCCTGCAGCACTTTGATCCCTGCTTTCCTTTTGCTAAGGCTTAGTAAGTGGAGGGGAAAGCAGGGATCAAAGCCCTGCAGGATCACTTTGATTCCTGCTTTCCCTTCCACTTGTTTTTTCTCCTCAGCTTATTTCCGTGTATAAGACGACCCTCAATTTTTAGTCTAAAGATTTTAGACAAAAGTATAGTCTTATACACAGAAAAAATACAGTCCTTCATTTATATCTCACCCTTCTCCCAAGGACGTCAGATGGCAAACAGCTTTCTCCCCTCTATTTGTTCTCACAACCATGCAGTGAGATAGATGAGGTTGTGATAGTGCTTGTGATAACATCACTCACTGAGACCTCTGGGGCTGAAGTAGGCCTTTTTAGTTCTAGTCTGACATGATAACTACTACATTGGAGTGATACTTCCAATGATCTGAATTTGCTCAAAGTAGTTCTGAGAGGAACAAAAGGGCGGCTTCAGACTAAAAGCCATTATGAGGATGAAAAACGACCACCACCAGTCATTACCTGTCCCAGCTCTTCATTGAGATCTGAAGTATTGACTTGTGCCTTCTCATTTGTTTCCTCGTGATAGAGATCAAGGTCCCAACCAATAAAGAAAGATCCAAGAAACTTCTGCATCTCAACAGTCACGTAGAGTGAAATGGGTATAATAAAGTTGTAGAGTACCATGAAAGCAAGGAAATCTGAAATAAAGCTCAGGATCTGAGGAAAAGGGAGAAGCAGTATTATCAAAATAAAAGTGAAACACATATCTAACAATGTGTAATTGCCAATGGAAAAGAGTTGATTCTAAGTTTTGTACACAAAGTCTACAGTTAGGGTGGATTATTATCTCTTGGGACATAACACAATTTATAAATTGGCCAGATAAAGATCATGGCTCCTTCAAAAGGTGTTACCTTCCTATTTAATAAGATGACTGGCTTTAAATTGGAAGGTGTATTTTACTTTTGCATAATATGTAACAGTTTCATCTCATCCTTTCTCCAATGAGCTCAAAATGTGTACATGTCATTGTTTAGCCTTTCACTGTCACTGTGGCATGTTTTATTATCCTTTCTCCAATGAGCTCAAAATGTGTATATGTCATTGTTTAGCCTTTCACTGCCATTATGGCATGTTTTATTGTGAAATTACAGTGGTGCCTCGCAAGACGAATGGTTTTGGCAATGGGGTTGATGACTTGCAAGACCAATGTTCTTATGGCCATGCTCCACAAAATGAATGTTTTCGTTTTTTGTTCCTGCCTCATGTTTGCTGATTTTTAAATGTTCTTCTATGATGTTTAAAAAGTTAAAGTTTTTTTAACTGAAATTTTTGAAATCATCTGCACAATATTTATGGCTTTAAAGAGCACTTAATAAACCCTTTGTAAACCAAATTCGACTTTGTTCTGACTTTTCTTGTCCATAGGAAGGCATTAATTAGATTTCAATGCATTCCTATGGGAAAATGTGTTTTACAAGACAACATTAACTGTGGAACGAGTGGTCTTAACCGACCAGATAGGCGGGATATAAATAAAATAAAATAAATAAATAAATATAAATTTGTCTTGCGAGGCACCACTGTATTTTACATAGGAAACCTAGGAGACACTACTGTGAATCAGCACACTTCACTAATATTTAAATAATTTTCTACCCAATAAAGCAATGGTTCCCAACCTTGGGTCCCCAGATGTTCTAGGACAAATCCTGCCCAGCGTAGCTAGTGAAGGCTTCTGGGAGTTTTAGTTCACAGACATGTGGGGACCCAAGGTTGGAACCACTGAAATAAAGTATCAGGTTCACTTTACATGGACATGACTACTTTATAAAGATGGTTCCCAAAGCCCCCCAAAATTTATTTTTCATATACTAGAACTACACTTGCTTTCCAAGAATAAGTAAAAAAAAAGAGGCTCTAAGCAGGTCATGTACTTCACCAGCTCAAATTTCAGGAAAGGCAAAGCCCAGGGCTACTCTTGATTGCCTCCAAGTGCCTTTACGGCCAGGACATACAACGACAATGGCAAAGAACAACACAACGTAGCTCATTCCACTCAAAGGCAAAAGGCTCCAAAATACTCTGGTTCAAGGAAGTGATGGCAAGGAGCCAGAATATTTCTCACAAAGAAGGAGGTAGGATGAGAGAGAGAGTAGGCTTGAAGAATCTATGAACAGTGACTGGGTAAGTAAGCGTTCTCAAGAAAGGATATGGTACAGCATTCTGATGATTAAATAATATATACAAAGAGATAAGACAAAAAGATGCAATGCTACTAAGGAGATAAAAAGCTGATTTGAAGCATTATTGCATGAAGAGTTATAAAACAGAAAAGAGATGAAGGGTGGGTGGGTTGGACCTTTAAGAGACAAGTCTCCAGTGGTGAAATCAGACATGTAATTAGAATGTCACCAATAAAATTTCAAATAATTTTCTTGGACAACATTAAAGTAATACAGCCGAATGCTTTCTTATTCCCAGCTCTGAAAGGAGGCACAGATAAGATAAAGCCCCTAAGCCTGTAATCTTCAAAATCATGGCTGAAAACTAGTATGCATGTTGTGAAAGCCTAAACTTCAGTTATGAGACGGGAAAAAACCCCATTTACAAGACATACATAATCTTGGACTTTACCTTACTGCTGTTTCTTTCATGGTTAGTTAGCTGGTTATACCAAGGTTCATTCAACTTTTCTTCAGACTGCCAAGCGTATTTCAATATCGTACTTAGGATGGCTTGAAAAAGGAGGATTATTAGATAGATAATCAAAAAGGAATTCATAGACCTAAGGAAACAAAATTGGTATTTTATTTATTTCTGTTATTTCTATACTGTCCCATTAGTGCACAGCACTATTCTGGGTGGTGTACATATAAAACTATAAAGTAACTAAATAAAACAGCTGGTCTCAACAAAACAAAACAAAAAGAAAAAAAGAAAAAAGAAACCAACATTGGAGGCTAACTGAATGTGCAAATATTCATATGACTGAAATTGACCAAAAAAAAAAAGAAAAAAGAAAAAAAGAAATCAACATTGGAGGCTAACTGAATGTACAAATACCTGTATTCATATGACTGAAATTGACTGTTTTCTACTTTTCTGAGGAAAAGCTTCACAGGCAAAAGGTGAAAATAATGAGCGAGTGGCTCAATATAAAAAATAAGACACACTTATCACCTCAGAAACACCTTCCAAAACATTTTTGCAATTGAAAAGAAAGTTAAAAATTAGAGTTCGAAAAACTCAAGATCAAAAATAAATTATATTCCCCACTCTATATCACCTCAGCACTGCAAAATTAGAAAGCAATTGCTTAGGTCTAATTAGTGACAGTCACTAGAACTTTACATGACAAAAACATTTCACAAAGAATTAGATTAGATTAGATTATAGGTTCAAAATGGTCTGAACAACATTCTAGCCTGCAGCTTTTGGTACCATGATCACTTTCAGTCTCATGATCACTTTCAGTCTAAAGTAATGCTGACACTGGAAAAGTGCTGCAATAGAAAATAGATGGACTTTTTTGCTTTCTGTCCCTAGACATTCCTTGGATGAAGAAGAACAAAATTGGCCGCGGTGATTTCCAGATATTAAAGACCTCTCCTTACTTAGGGAGCCTCTGTACCTGGGCTGGGGTGGGGGAGCCAGAAACATTTAGTGATAAAAGACTATGACTGATAACATCATTTGCCTTGCACACACTCAGGTGCACCTAATAGGTTTACAGCCTATTTCTTTTTAAAAGCTGCTTTAACCTATCACTTTGCATGTAGCTATAGTAAAAAATAAAGGTTTAGCCTTGGTACATCGTCTATCGCTAGTATCAGCTAAGTAAAAAATAAAGGTTTAGCCTTGGTACAACATTGTCTATCGCTAGTATCAGCTGACAAAAAGCCAGTTGTTCTACCTAATACCAGGATGCACATGTAATTAATATTCTGAATGTTCTGAATTGTCATGCTACTGTCTGTCTTTAAGGCATATCAATGCTTGTTTTTATTATGCTTTTGTTCTACATGTTGGACTGCAATGCACATGTAATTAATATTCTGAATGTTCATTACCTGTGTCATGCTACTGTCTGTCTTCAAGGCATATCAATGCTTGTTTTTATTTTGCTTTTGTTCTACATGTTAAGACTGCAATGTGCCTGTGGAAGTGGACTTGTTCACAAAAGCTCCCATTAAAATATAGCTGTTAAGCTTTAAGGTGCCATAATGTTTCTGTCCTTATTTTGATTTTTCTTTTCCTGACTGTGTCAAATGTAGAAATGAAAATTCTAACATCGTTTTTCAAAATGACATGATGCATGGGCAGATTTTATTACATTTCAACATTCCCATGTATAGTGAAAAGACTTATTTAACAGAAGGTTATCTTTGGGTTATTTTACTGAAATGCGAGAATGATGTGAAGAAGTCTTGCAATATATACATCAAGTAGCTTAACAATAATTCAAAATAAGCTTTCCCAAGTCTACTGACAAAAAGCTAAGGAGAAAACCCGCATGAAAATAAATTTCTTCCCTCAAACTAGAAAGAATGCTGTTTTCCAGAAGAATCATTCAGATTACCACCAACACCTCCGTTTTTGCAACTTATTACCTACAATTTTTAAAACAAATCTGAACACAGCTGAGTTTCAAACACGTACTTTTCAACTGCTGATCGTTTCTGTGATTTGCTCTTGTAATTTAATGCCATCTTTGTTTCCATGCCTGTATATACTGCAACACCTAAAAAACCAAATCACAAAACAGATCTTTGAGCATATTTATAGAATGAGTTAGTTTTTTTAAAAAAAGAGACAGTTTCAGCATGACTGCCAGAATAAAGTCAAAACAAGAAAGAACTAGATTTTTAACAACATTCAATTATGACGAAGACTAAAAAAAACAGTTTAACCTTTTAAGAGTCTGCTGCATATTGGACTTGACCCTAAAAAGAAAGGGATAAGTAACATCCCTTACATGTAACATTAAATTTCAGCTGTCCAAATCTGATGTTGTTTTCAAAGCCAAAACTTGTGTCAGGCAAAAACGATGGTTCTCCAAAAACTGCACGGACGTAATCCCTTTCTACTGGTTTTGTGGGCTAGGGCTGATGGCAGTTGAAAGCCAACATTGTCTGAAGGACAGAAACACCCAACTCCTCTTTAAAAAGAAGCTGTTAGGCAGCCTTAGGTATCTGCAACAATTACTTAGGACAATTACAAACCAAAGATTTCTCTTGTGTTTTTCAGTCTTGCTCCTCGAAGTAAGAGACTTTCAGGTCCAAGTGGTCTGAAAAGGAAATAGACTGTGTTTACAATTTAGAGAAGACAGCACAGCAGGGGTTCTAGCTGATTTCTCTTACCTGAGGGTACGCCACATAGGGTTCATTTTTTAAAAACTCAAGCAGAAATTAGATTAAAGATATAGGGACACAGATTCTTATTCTCATCAAAGGGGAAATTAATGGAAGACTAAATCTGAGAGGAAATTATAGGGGCGTGGTGGCGCTGCGGGTCAGAAGACCATCAGTCATAAGATCGAATCCATGGGATGGAGTGAACTCCCGTCGCTTGTCCCAGCTCCTGCCAATCTAGCAGTTCGAAAGCATGTAAACATGCAAGTCGATAAATAGGTACCACCGTAGTGGGAAGGTCATGGCATTCCGTGTCTTGTCGAGCTGACCATGTGACCATGGAAACTGTCTATTGACAAACACTGGCTCTACGGCTTGGAAACAGGGATGAGCACTGCACCATAGAGTCAGACACAACTGGACTAAATGTCAAAGGGAACCTTTACCTTTACCGGCTCACATTGCTATGTAAAGCCACAGGTTCAGGGGTAATATGCCACTGAACTGAGTCTCGTGGCACAGTGGTTAAAC